ATGTTGACGGTGTTAAAACCGCCCGTTTGGGTTGTTGTGCAGCTTCGTTCCGTTTGAGCGTCGAGACTGTTTGTTTACACCGACGAAGCCTAAAAACGGAAGCTAGGATTGGCCCGTGGTTCCCTCTGTCAACAATCAAAGTGTTCACCTCGGCCGGAGAAAAGGGAAAACAAACAGGAAGCAAAGTAATTAAAGAAAGACTCTAATCCCTGCACATCTGTGGACGCTGATCCATTTGTTTAATAAAAGGGAGCAGTCCGAGTTTCTAACGTGCACTAACGAGAAGAAACGGGGAGGAGCTAAAGATGTATTGCGTTAAAACAAATAACGAGAGTCGTCGGGTAAGAATGAGCTGGGAAAATAAAAACCAACCATCTGCAGGACCACGGAAAACGAATGCGTGCACGTGTGTGGCCACGCCAGTCGAGTTTTGTTTGTGTGTTTCCGAGTGGATGTAGGTCACGGCCAGAGCAGCGCTCGGGTGAACCGCTGGCCTCTTTCACTTTAGTATCGAGAGGAGTGGAGGAGATAAGCTCGCCCCATCTCCTGCGCTGCAGAGGAGGAGGAGATAAGGGCCTGTTTCCCAATGCTACCGCTGAGGCGTGAGCCAGCCGGGAGGATGCTTTGAACCGCTGCTCGCTATCTGCTCTGCCTGGGAAAATTATAAAGCGAGTGTCCAGAGAAACAAAAGGTTGATTGAGGGCTGCTGTGCTGCGCTCTCGGGGGTAAATCGCACTAGTATCGTGGGTCAGAGAGCGCAAAGAAAAATCCGAGGGGCGAGAGGAAATTTTCTTCGGTGCCAGAGGTGTCTTTCCACTCGTCTCTGCTAAGTTTAGTATTACTGAAGGGATTTTGGGGGGAAAAACATATTAAGTATACATGAGTGGTTTTTAAGGGAAACCACACATGAATAAAGGATACCTGCTCGCGCTCAGGCACACAAACACACAGCAAGTAAACACACACACCGCCCCGGCGGAGTTAACAAAACCTATACGAGGTGGATTTTAGATTTGATATGTGAGCAAATTAAAATTCTGCTCCCATATTTTGATTTTATAGACACGTGGATATGATATCTTTTTTGCTTTTTGTACACCAGATAAAAC